AAAAAAATAAAATCTTTCCTTATTTCCTTAGAATAAGGAAATGGTACCTTAGGTTTAATTTCTAAGATTTCATTTGTCATCTGAAAATAGCTGACAAACCTTAAAATCCAATACAGGTAGTCCTCGGCTTATGACCACAATTGTGCCCAAGATTTCCATTGCTAAGTGAGACAATTGTTAAGTGAATTCCCCCCCCCCCATTTTATGACCTTTCTTGCCACATTTGTTAAGTGAATCACTGCAGCTGTTAAGTTAGTAACATGATTGTTGACGTGGCTAATCAGAAGGTCCCAAAAAGTAATCACATAACCTAGGGACACTGCAACTGTCACAAATATGAACCGGTTGCCAAGCGTCTGAATTTTGACCCATGTGTCCATGGGGATGCTGCAACCGTTATAAATGTGAAAAGCACACTGCAATGGTCATAAGTCACTTTTCTCAGTACCATTGTAACTTTGAACAAGGACTACGTATAATTGGTCCCTTATTTCGACGTTTGGAAAAGCACTGCATGACGAGAAAAATGGGACAATATTTCCCCATCCTAGCCATCCTACAGGCCCCCATGGATGCATCCTGAATTGATCAGCAACTACATACACGGAATGATGGGAAAATTTTCATCCAAATTTCTTTTCCATTTGACTCTGCAGACTACATGTTTTCAGCATCAAGGAACACTTTTTTTTCTCTATTCTCTTCTCTCTACAGATTGGCCATTAAAAAAAAAACTTTGAAAATAATCTGATTTCTTCCCCCCCCCCCCCTTCAATGTTCTTCTGTTCTTATAGTTGAGAATGAATGTCAAAAAATCTGTGGAAATGATTCTACGTGTAAGAATGACTCTGGGAATTACAGATGCTCTTGCAAAATAGGATTTTGGAGAGTAACAAATCAAGAGAAAACTTTCCTGAATATCAGTGAAAATGACTGTGTCGGTGAGTGCCTTTCTTTCTTTAAACATGGCAAATATGCTTCGTTTATATACTGACAGCACATAAACAATGAAAGTTACTACATGTATTAAAAGCCTGTTTATTAATGTTTATTTCTGACCATTAGTGACTCCTTGAGGTCTTGCAATGGATGTATCCATTTTAGGAAACAATTTGGCCACTGGGCTTTTGCTTTGCTGAGGTTTGCACTCCAAAGGGTAGATAAAGCCAGGAAAAGTTCTAAATTTGATTTAATTGAACTTGATTAGAACTAAATTAATTGGTGTATACTGATGTAATGTCCTATGTATCTACTAATTAATCTGTATTCCCTTTTAAAAATTACAAATGGATGGAATACAGTTTGGGAATCTTCCAGAAATATTAGTTATTACTAAATAAAGAATCTAGTTTGGAACAAGCGTGATATAGCATGGCCTAGAACATGGATGTGTTCTAACTAATGCCTTTCTTCCCTCTGTATATTCTAAAAAGATTGTGGCAACTACCTGAAAAAAAACAATGAATGTAAGAACGGATATAACCCGTGCGACGGAAATACTGACCGGTGTTGTGGTAATTGGACGTTTTGCTTTCCATAAGGGAGTAGCTAAAGTTGGGTGGAGGGGAGCAATGGCAAACACCGTGGTTACAATCTGCAGATTATCACCCCATCCACCTAGTTTGTAGTTTTTTGAAACTCTGAGCTGAAGATATTCCATGCACAGGGATTAGAATTAGAAATGACATTGTTTTTCCTATTTTCTCATCAGCTTGTCGGGGGTATAGGATAGGAAGGATGGAAGGCAAAAACAGTTCTTTAAAATATGGAGATGATGGTACCTTAACTTTGGTCTGTAACGTTCAACCTTAAAATAGGAACTGGCCAATGTTAGTGCTGCCTCTACATAATCCAAACATTTCACAATTTCATAGCACTGTACAATAAAGGTTTTGCTTCCTGCACATTTTTGGGTGCATCTTAAAGAATTTTGGCTGCTAATCCTGAAAATAATCTGTAATTTGACGTATCATGCACTGTTTTATAGAAATCATCTGTTTTTATACAATGGCAACATGCACCCTTCAGTACCTGTTTGCCATGTTACATGCATGAAAGAAACATACGAAAACATACAGATCTGTTGCTGAAGCACATCCAGCACACTATATAATTAATTGGAATAGCTGTGGGGATATAAAAGTAGTGGCTCTACTGCTTGGAATGCACCCCTGATGTGCCAAGTACAGGTAATCCTCGAGTTATGACAGTTCACTTAGCGACCGTTCAAAATTGTAACATAGCTCATCCCAAGTACTTACGACACAGTCCCAAGGTTACGAATGTTGCAGCTGTTCACTCTTATGAACGACAGCAGGTGCACTGCAATATCCACCATGCCTATAGATCCGCCCCCCTCCCTCTCTGGGTCTCCACAGGCACTGGGCCTGTAGAGACTCACTTATGTCGCAAAGATCTAGCTGCTGTCTCCTCTCTGCCATGGTTTCTTTCCCTGGCTTGTTGCTTCAAGCCTTTGGTACATTCGCAGAGAACAGAGGCCTAAAGTACTGAGAGATCATGCAAGATCATTAGTACGAGGTCTCATGCTACTGATCTCGTGTTATCTTGCACTGCTTTAGGACTCTGTTCTCTGTGAGGTGAGGCCTGAACGAGATTTGTGGCAAAAGGCTTTGAAACTGAGAGAAGGCTTTGGTGCTGTTTCCTTGTCAAAGCCTGCTAGGAGATTGTGTCCGATTGTCTTTGTAAACAGCCTCTGCCAGCAAGAGCGGAGCCTGGGAGGGGCCGGTGCGTTCTTGCTGGCAGAGGCTTTTTGCAAAGGCTTGCTGAAGTGTTCGCAAGCCAGTGGGACGCTTTGATTTTGCTGCCCCAAAGCCTCCCATCGATGTGCAAATGTTTTGTGCACTGAGACTGGATGCTTCTGGGGGCTATGATCCTGTGCATCAGAGAGGCTGGAGAGGAGACAGTTCGCTCCACGATAAGTGACCCAGCACAGCAGGATGGGAAGGGAAGCAATTGTGGGGAGCATGAGGTATATCAGTGGTCTTAATTAGATGGCCCAATCCATCACTAGGCCCTCTATTGCCTTCCCCACCCTGACATACCTCATGTGCACTTAACGACCTGCAAATTTGATTAGCGAATGCATGGGTGAAAGCAGGGAGTTTTCACGTTCATTTTATATGATTCACTCCAACGAATCCTCAGATTACCAATGTAATTGGCAAGCTCCATTAGATTCGTAACTCAAGGATTACCTGTGCTGGTGTTATATCCATATGGGACAACAAGACAGTTCCATTGTATTAGAAAGAAATGGCCACTCTGAAAGAATTGGGTTCTAGGACAAAAAAATGTGGGAAATGAACCACTTGGTGAACGTTTTTGTTATTTGAGACAGATATTTTCAAGAATAACTCATGCCAAGATTAAGGAAGGCATTCTTTTTGGCCCACAGTTCAGACACATCATCAATGACAGGTGATTTGAAGATCTGTTAGTGGAGCCACAGAAAATTGCCTGGAAGACATTCAAGGATGTTGTTGAGAATTTTCTTGGCAACTATAGAGCACTAAATTAAATCCAGCTGGTTGCCAAACTGCTTACAAGCGTACAAGGCCATGAAGAAAGATTCATTTTTTGCATTCACACGTGGACTTCCTGCCCAAAAATCTAGGTGACCATGAGGGTAAATGGTTTCACCAAGACATTATAACAATGGAAAAACAGAATTTAGGGCAATTGGAATTCATCAGTATTGACTGACTATGGTTGAAAACTACAGTGAGATGCATTGGATACTGAGTACAAGCAAATGTGAGCTCATGCAGTATGGCAGAATCATTATACAATTTAAACACATTAGAGTCATTAAAAGATAATTTAATATTTCTCAGAATTCCTAGGGTATGTAATAACATCATTGATATTTGTGTCCAATTTGAAGGGATCTGTATGTATTGTCTATTTTAATCACCAAAAGTTTTTCAGGAAGCAAACCCTTTGAAAAAAATGTATTGCCAATTATAATGATTGGGCAACAGGCAAGAACAACTTTCATATGACAAAGATCAAACACTTTTATTTCCAATTTGGAAAAGATGCAACATAAAAACAAAAAAAGTGATTTTTTTCCCCACTCCAGCAATGTGGATGCACCCTGTATTTATGGGAAAGTCTCCCTCAAATTTTTTCTCAGTCTGATTCTACAAATAGATTAGATTCCCTTCCTTTTCTGCCTCTTGAGATAGGTCTCTATTTTTTTAAGCCCAGTGAAGAAATGTGTTTCTGATGTCAAATTATTTCTTTTCCCAAATGGTCGTCTTCTAGCTAATCCTACCTGTGGTGTTGAACAGTGTGGAAAACATAGTAAATGTAAACCAGACTGTGATCAGGTCCTTTGTGAATGCAAACCAGGATTTCAGTTACCTAATGGGGGAAGAACATTCAAAAGTATAAATGAAAATAAGTGTGAAGGTAAGTGCTTTCTGGAGCTCTTGTTTATGCATGGCACATGTGCTTACTCCAGGCAATGTACTCATAGCACATGAGCAGAAAGTTAATGCAGAGGCAGAAGTCTGCAGTGTTACACTGTTCTGGCACTGGAAATGGCTATGGCAAATTCTCAATAAACTTGTATCTTTCCACCCAGCACTGAAAGGAAAGAGTTTCTTGCATCCACAGCTAAAGAGAATGAAGTTCACTTGCTGTTCTGACATCTGTATTTTTAAATACCTTTTTTTTTTTTGCACGGCTTTAAACATTTGGGATTGGCATGTATTTGTAGCCATGTAACCAAGCTTGTCAATGTCTGTTTCTGACCATCAGTGACTGTTTGTGATCTGACAATGTGCCCAACCAATTGTCCACTAAGCTTTTAGTCTGCTGTGAATTGCACTTCAAAAAGTATGCAAACTAAGACAAAATCTAAATCTGATTTAATTAATCTTCAATTAATTAAAATAAGTAACCGAACCATAAAATAAGACTTAGCATAATTTTTAACCTGTGTCTAATATAAGCTCTACCCCCAAAATAAGCCCTAGTTAGATCGTCAGCCCTGGGTGTGGAGGTGGCCAGTACAGGAGGTGGCAAGTCCATGGAGACTTAATGTAATGTTTTTAATTTACAAATAGAAAACCTGGTTACTAATACTATGACTTCTCTTCTTTCTTGGCCTCACTTTTTTCCTTCTCCTTTTCCTTGTCAACTTTTCTCTCCTTCGTACTCTCTTCCTTCTCCTGTCCCTCCTTCTTGGCATCCCTCTTGGCAATCCTGTTGTGCAGCGCTACCACTCGCCTGAATGGATCAGGCGAGGCAGGGAAGGGGTGGGAATGGTGCCACGCCACAACCCCTATGGGCTTCACTCCTGCAGTCCAACGTTGTCCTCCAGCGCTCCCCTAGCTTTGCCCATCCATGCTTGTTGACTTTACTACTGCAGCGGGAAAGAGGCAAGAAACCCACTCGAGGTTCCAAGGCTCTGTCTGTTGCTGCATCAAAACACCAACTCGAAGAGAGAGGATTGATTTTTTTTGCAGATGGTTTTAGGAGGTTGCCCTGAATCCATTCAGGATGATGAACTTCTGCAGCATTACCACCAAATGAATCAGGTCACACCATGGCTCCTGCATGCTTGACCACCACCATCAGTGCTGGAGGACAATGGTGGGGGCTGAGGATGCAGAGGCCACAGTGTGATGCCACCCCCGCCCTGCCCCATGTCTCTGATCCATTCATTGGTACTGCTGAATTTGCTACCCTAAGCGGATTCAGCGCATCCTCCTGAAACCATCTGCAGAAAAATCAATCTGCTGTCTTCGAGTTGGCATTTTGATGTAGCAACGGGCAGAGCCTTGGAGTCTTGAGTGAGTTTCCTGCCTCTTTCCCACTGCAGGAGTAAAACGAACAAGTGTGGATGAGGAAAGCTACAGGAGCGCTGGAGGATGATATTGGGTGTTGGTGGAGCATGCAGGGCCGTGGTGCGGCACCATTCCCGCCCCCTCCTGTGCCTTGTCTGATCCATTCAGTGGTTGCGCTGCACAACAAGATTGCCAACAGAGAGGCCAAGAAAGAGGGGCAGGAGATGGAGGAGAGTAAGAAGGAGAGAAAAGAGGACGAGAAAAAGGAGAAGGAAAAAAGCAAGGCCAAGAAAGAAGAGAAGAAGAAGTATTAGTAACCAGGTTTTCCATTTGTAAATAAAAAGCCCCCACGCACACACCGCCCCCTATGTGGCCACCCCCACACCAACCCCCAGGGCTGACGGGGTGAGGCAGCAGTGACATGGCAGTGGAAGTGGCAGTGGCAAGAAGAGTACCAGCCACAGCCACAAGAAGTGATGGCAAAGTGGGAGGTGCCCCACTGGCCACCACTGTCACTGCCAGCATCAGGGCTCTGAGGCACCTCTGCCCCTTGTCTACCTGTCCAGATGGGGCCGGGGGAGATGGGTGACCTTGCGGGATCTGAAGGAGGATGCAACTGCAGGAAGAATGGAAAGGGCCCCGCGGGAGGCAGCCATCTCCTTCCTGGTGGGGAAGGCTGGGCAAGATTGGTTGGCATTCTGCAGGTCAGGCTGCCCGTATGCCCCACTCTGCACTCCACCCCAGAAGCAAGATCGAAAATTTGGCTTCTCTCTGGAAGGGTGAAGCAACCCAGCAGGCAGAAGTGTGTTACTTTTTACCCAGCTCTTTCTGCTTTTCTGTTTCTTTTTCCTGGGGAGATCTTTTCCCACACCCTGCCTGTTTTCTCTTTCCCTTTGTCTTACTTTTTCACACAGATGGCGAGTGCATTAGGGCCACAGTGTGTTGCCAACCCCGCCATGCCCCCTGCCTCCTCTCACCTTGCCTTGCCTCATCTCATGGCGGCGGCACTGGCCCGCTGGATGTGCTGTGCAGCTCTGTGTGCAAAAAAATAAGACATCACCCAAAATTAAACCCTAATGGGTCTTTTGTAACAAAAATTAATACAAGTCCTGGCTTTATTTTCTGGGAGGCACAGATACTTACCCATTTCCTCTTTTAGTTTTGTTAAAAATTATAATTGGATAGCAATTTATAAAACTTAGGGCCTACAGTATATGTGCCCTTATTTTGGACGTACTCTCTGTACTCAGCTATCTTTTCCTAGAATTTCCCACTGACTTTCTGCATGTAGAAGTGTGGATGTTTTGACCTACAAGAGTTACTTCTCAGAATCGACCAAACAGAACCAAGTGAGCCATGGAAATAAACCACTCTAGAAATATATTAAGAAAGGAACTCTTTTAATACTCTTTAATGAACATTTGGAGAAAACATCAGAATATTATTTTTATGATTGACTCCCAGCAGCTGAATGTTATTTTTTTAATACCTACAGCTGAACATGTTGTATATTTTAAACTTAAAATGTATATTTACTTGTTCCTTTGCTTTTCCATTTCGGGGAGGGAATAGTTTTTAAGTTTGTTGAGAATACTCTAAATTAGGCTTACTTTTTTTTTTCTTCTCTTATCTTTTGTGGGGGCATGGTTTTAAATTCAGGATCTTTTTCTTTTTAGGAAAAGAATATGTATCTTGCTATCACAGATAGGAGCATTATCTGTTTCACTCTGCTAGAAGATTATTCCTGCAAAAATGAAAAAGAGAATGCGATTTCTCCAAAGTGACTTGTTCTCCTTTCCCTTTTCTGCTGTCTTAGTATCCATGGCATCTTTGAATCTAATTAAATAATTGGAACTGAGGATTTACTAAGAATCTCACTGGTTATTCATGGCAAAATGACCAGAATGTCATTCCAATGCTTTGCATTTTCAGTTATCTACTTTGTTTAGTGGCATAAAAACTACGGGAAAGGGAAATACAGTCACAGGCTCATTGGGCATCATCTCCATCCTTTCACTTTCATTTTATATACATGCCTGATGATGAGGGAGTGGCTTCAGCTTTGCCTATTCCTCATTTCCTTCTTATCTATGGCTGCCATGACTGGAAATGAGCTTCTGTTTACTTGGAAAATTGGACTTGCTCGTTTCTCTGGGCAATCTCTATTTCACTCTTTTAAACAGGAGATTTCTCAGTTACTTAAAATAGTGACATTCAAAATAAATTTATTTGACAACCCTCAGATCTAGTTGTCTGTCATCTAATTGCAAAAAAGGGGGGGCCTGAGTGTAAGAACAAGCAGGATAAAAGTGAAGAAGCTGAAAATAAGATCAGACAAGACAGAAGTGCTATTGTTTGATAGGAAACCAGACTTTGGGGTTAGTGTTCATGTATTCTAGACAGATCTGTATTCTTTAAGTCCTGCTAAAGAGAAATCCACTTTTCAGAGCCCATCGGTTAATCAAGGAGAAGAGGGTACTGGCTTTCTCCCACCCTACTCCCAAGCTGGGGAACATACTCGCTTAAAAGTACTTTCCAAGAGTTAAAGACTATCTTCTTCAACTAGGCTCCTTGGGTTGTAGTAATAATATTAATTGGAGCTGATTTTTTTATTTAAAACAAAAACTTTTGATTGTCCCATGGATAGAACGGTGGGATTTAAATCAAATGAATAAGGTAGGAGACTCTTTTCTCTGCTCACAATATGGTGCCCCAGCCGTGATGCCCATGCGGTTCACCACTTCAGAGTTTTTGTCCCCAGCACATATGTTACAGCATGTTGCTTTGCAGAGTTTGCATGGGAAATGGCTTGGCCTTTTGCAGTTATAAACAGTTTCTCCTTTGCTACAGCACAGCTTTCCCAATCTGGGCCTGCTCCGGTTTTTTGTGGACTCAGCTCCTATCATTCTAAGTGGCCCTGCTGGATGCGGAATTCCGAGAGCCAAAGTCCATTCTCCTGTGGGGAATACCCGGTTTGGAAGATCTGGCATAATCGGTTGTGGCATTCTGCCATGTTTCATTTAGCCCTACTTTCTTCTTGCAGACATTGATGAGTGCAAGAGAAATGCTTCCATCTGTGGTCCCAAAGGGAGCTGCATTAACACTGAAGGGGATTACCACTGTAAATGCAAGCAAGGATATGCAAAGAGCTTTAAAGATGATAGAAAGCTATGCAGAGGTACAGCTGAGTGAGAACACAATTTGCTTGTTATGCAACCAAAATAATACATTGGAGGGTGGCAAATCACTACTGTAGTTAACTACTTTTGCTGACTGATTTTGAAGTGATGAAAAACCAGAGATGCCCAAAATGCACAAGAATATTACCAATAAAGGAGAATGTTTGTAGCTAAGGGTTGACATGAGGGGTCCTTGGTGCTCTCTGAGCTTGCTTGTTTTCTTGCAGACGTTTCATTATCCAAAAACATCAGCAGTGCTCTCTGATGGTGCAGTGCACTAATGATGTTACCTAGCTTGGGTGATGAAACATCTGCAAGAAAGCAACCAAGTTCAGAGAGCACCAAGGACCCTGCACATGAAGTTGGCAGAGAAAAATGTCTACCTTTAAAATAACCATGATTGTGGGCAATTATTTGAAACATTTTTAGAAACTGGTATGTTTTGGGCATGAATTACTATGGAGAATCAGTTCCTTTCAGTTCCTTTCAGTCATATATGTTTTTATATGTTATTTATTTCAGAACATGTTCGTGCTAGTTAAAGTCACCAGTGTCTCTCTTTCTAGTAAGATCTTGGCAGTGCCTGGTTTTCTTACATAACCTTTGCCAGTTGGCATCCTCCAGATGTGCTGTGTGTAGAATTCTTAGAATGCCAAGAGTAGCTGGGATTGGAATTACAGAACTTACATGGTCACAAGAAGTCTGGATATCAAATCAGGGAAACTTATATCTGCTCTCTCTCTTAATTTTATGACAGTGTCATTTGTTTCCATTCATATGATTAAAATGGAAGAAAATTATTTTCTTTGTTTAGTCAGGAAAAATTACATTAAATAGCTGAAAATTGTCAAAAGTCATCTTGCTCATTTTTTTAATAGATCAAAAAGATGTTGGGAAAGGTCTTTCATGGTACCAACCAGTGGTGGGTTTCTACCGGTTCGGACTGGTTCAGTTGAACCGGTAGTGGTTTGACAGCCTGGGTTGCTGGAACTGGCAGTGACCCAGGCCTGCCACATATGCAAACTGGTACTTTGGGCAGCGCCATAGGAGCCACCACATGCGCAGAGCCATTTTTATTGCACTGTCCACGTGCACGCATCACACACACATGTGTGACACAGCCATGAGCAAACTGGCAGTAGCGACTGCCGGAACCTGCCTCTGGTGCAAACAGGTATATGACAATCATCCATGACACACTTTCTTATATACATTGTTCATGCCCTGGGGTCTTGTGATCCAAGCAGCTGTGCCTAAAGGAAGGAGAAGTGAATAGTTCCACAACAGTGCTGAGGAATTAGGAGAGTTGTTTATGATCCCAGGCAGAGTGACATGCCAGCCAATTTCCTCAACATCAGTGGAGGACAATTGTTCCATCTGCAATGCTGAAATAAGATGCAATTGCCAATTAAGTTAGTTTGGAATACCAGAAACAAGCGTGGTAAGAAGATGTCATTGTTTTAGCTTGGGCAGCAAAACATCTTGGTTTAGTCCTGGTTGCCATCTGGTCAAAGTCTGGCTGGAAACCACATTCTGTTATTCTGCTGATAAAGAGATGACTATATTTGAGGGGCTTGTGTATCACATGAGAGAAGAGGCTGAGAAAAATCATATTATTTAAAAATTATTTGGTAATTTACAGATGAGACATTTGTTGAAGTATTCCATGACGCAGTGGAGCAAAGTAACATTTCAGTCACTTTGAGTTGCAACACCAATAGTAGCAGATGACCTTAGCAACCCTTGGACAATGAAGGCCATGATGCTTAAAAATCCTGAGGGCATGGAACTGTAGAATTAATTATCTCGTTTCATTGTCTTATAAGTCTCGTTATCTTTACCAATGACCATTGAATATGTTTCGTGTGTGTGTATATACATGCACGTACACATACTATCTATCTATCTATCTATCTATCTATCTATCTATCTATCTATCTATCTAT